TGTCTTTAAGTGCCCTTCGTGGCAAGCTGCCTGGTGGCGAGCTGCTTGGTGGCAAGCTGTCTGTAAGGTGCCAGGCTGCATGGTGGCGAGCTGTCTAGTGGCGAGCTGCCTGTGAGTGGCGAGTTGCCTGTAAGTGGCGAGTTGCCTGTAAGTGGCAAGCTGCTTGTAAGTGGCGAGCTGCCTGTGGTGAGCTGTCTAGTTGTCATGAGGCTGCACCTACTTGTCACGAGGTGCCAGGTGTCACAATGTCATTGGAGGGCCAAATCCGCCCTCATCACATGCCATTCTCTTTGTGTACTCTTTTGAGATACACATATCTAGACAAAAGTGGTTCTTCACTTCTTGTGTGTTGAAGATCAATTGGAATTTGGGCAAGTGCAGTTTTACCAATACCACCCATCCCCACAATTCCTACAGCCTTGAACCCACCATCAATTCCTCCATCTCCTTCATTTTGTCATCAAAGCCATGAACCTTTGATGTGTCTATTGATCGAGAGCTCCACCGTTTAATTACAATGTCTTTTGATCACCTCACTCTGTCATCATGTGGGCTACTAGAAGGAGGGGGATCTGGGTTTACTTGTATTTGGGTTGCAATTAGTTGTTGGAGTCATGCTTTAATGTCAACCAATCTTGTCTTAGCTTTTGGACGGAACCATAATCCCTCGCCATAGAGACAGACGATCGCGTTTCTTTGATAGTGTAAGACATTCACTCAATACTTCATTGAGATCGTAAAGTATATTCCTGAGTTTCTGTCGCTCGATGGACAATTGTGAGATCTCAGGAAGCTTTTTGGCTACCTCCTCCAAGTCTTGAAATCTAGATTTGATGGGAATTCTGGTTTGTGCGAACTCTGCAAAACTCCTTAAAAACTTGATCCTAAGAAATTCTGCAATTTCATCTTCCATTTGAACTGGTTTCGATGGTTGAGGATGAAGGGATGGGATATCCATCACATGGATGCCCAAGTCTTGCGGAATGGATAGGGCAAATTTCAAAAATTTCTCCCATCTTTGCAGGGAATCGAACTTGAATCAAGAACCAAACCAGATCTTAACCAAAAGGAGTAGGAGGGAGGATGTACCTGATACGGAGAAACAGTATCTCCCAATGGAGGTGTTCATGCCCAAGGAAGGATCCAAAATCTGCTCCCACTGAAAATGGCGCAGTGCAGGATGGAGCAGAATCAACAATGTTCTTCCAAAAGAACTTG